CCCCAAAACCCCAAAACCCCAAAACCCCAAAACCCCGAGGTGAGCAGGGCTGGTTGAATTAGTTAGAACTGCTCATCATTTTGCTGGGCTTTAATCGATTGGTAATTTCTGGTGAAATTCAAAACAGAAAATTGTCTGATTAAGAAACCTTCATAGATCCCATCAATCTCTTGTTGGCTAATACCTCTCATGAATGAATTATTTCTGAGAATCGAAGACATTTTAAGTCTGTTCTCAATTTCTTCTATTGTCTGAATTAATGCTGAAATGTCAATTTTCTTAATTTTTCTGTATGAATAATCCTTTTTCACATCTGGAGGGGAATTATTACTCTTTATCTCTTCAACTTCTTCTGAGCTATAAGTTCCCTCATTCTCACCAGAAGATTCTTCACTGTATGATTCTCCATTTTTCTTCATCCATCTTTGACTTTGGGTTTGAGGGGAATCCTTATCCATTTTCTTTTGAGGTACAAAATTGACCGACCATGCTGATTTTATTCTATCAACTCTCTTCACTGAAGCGTTATAGAATTTATAAACTGGGTGATCTGGATCTTGCATGTCGGATTCAAGCCTAAAATAATGAATTTAAGTACATACTCATCTTCAGCATTCCATGAATTTCTAAGAAGAAAGTATTTAACAAGGTTAAACTGATCTAGAATCCATTGCTCTTGACTTCTGAGTAAGAAATCCTCTAATTTCATTCTCCAAATCTCTCTAGAAGGGAAGTTGTCTTTGTGCTCGTCATCAACTGATGTACATCTATCATAAAGAGCGTCTTCTTCTCCATCAAGGAGGATCTGGAAGTCTTTACTTTTAAGAAAATCATCCCTCTTTTCATAAGTGATTCCATATAAAATTGTATTGAGATGCTCTTGAACCATCAGATTTATTCTCATCCTGGCTACAATGTATCTAACAGGAACGAAGAACTTAGATTTTCCAGAAATCTCAGCTTCATTGATCAGTTTTAAGTGAGACTCGAGTATATGAATCAAGGTGATTTTCAAGATCCCCATTGTGGTCAGAGAAAGCCCGCTCTTCATTGGATTTGACTTACTGTTGAATCTTGATGCTTTTTGGTAAAACCTTTTTGAAATTTCAGTCAAACTGATATCCTTAGTTTTCTCTTCTATTTCCTTGGCTCTAGAACTTCCATCCATAATTAAATTGGTAGCCTTATTTAGGTACTCCTCAGATTCATTAATCAGCTTTATATGAGGATAATATAGCTCATATGCGAAGTTAAAGGTGTCTATCGCAACAGAGAATATGAGCATTGGAATGCCAAGCAATACGAATAAAAGGTAATCGATGATATACCAATAATGACCTCTAGAGCAGTCCCCTTTAGAGTATAGTAGAGATCTTCTGAATTTTATGAATAATTGCACAAGAAAACTCAATGGAATAAGAATCAAAGAAACTCAAAAGAATAAAATCGTCACAACTATAGCGATAGGAATATATTGGATATGTTGTAAAGCAGAATTCAGATACCTGCTTCTAGCAGAGAGTAGTAAAGGAGTCAGTGGCAAGAAGAAAGCATTAAAAGGAGTTGTCACAGACACAATTGATGAGTAAAGAGGATGATACCCATACCTTTGCATGTGTAAAATTACTTCCTCAATATATAACCCATCTCTCTTCTCTTCAAGGAATGTATAAGTGGAAGATAGAATAGCAATCAAGAAGTTCAGAAGTAGGACTGCACTAACTATCAAATATATAGCAATATAGAGATATCCAACATTTGGGGAGATATTCGTTGAAGAAGCATAAATAGTTGGATCATAATTAGCAAAACTAGCTGCGAACAAAGTATTGAAAGCATCCATAAAAGTAGCATAGCTTGCTAATTCAGAAAATAGTAAGGTCCCGGCAGCCATAAAAGCAATAAACACAGAGAAGAATATGCATAAAAATTGTATAATGTTGAAAAGCATAGATCCAATTGTTTTTGCCATTGGGCCAAATAATCTGTTCAACCTAAAGGCTATGAGGAGCCTAAAGAATTGCAGTGCAGTTAGTAATGATGCAAAGTAATGAATGTTGAAAAAACCATCATTTCTCATATTCTGAAGAATTATGTTCTTTCTTTGGGCATCGTTAGATGCTGCCACTCCTGAAGAAAAATCTATCCAAAACCTATAATGCCAATATAAGACCATAATCGTGGTTAGAATGTTGATGATAAACCTTAATGTGAACTGCTTGACTACGACATTTCGAACATTGCAATAGAGGAATTCCTGGATATCTTTTATACTGTAGCAGATACATATTGTATTAATAACCATTAGAGCAAGTACTTCATCATAATAAGCATCAGCAATAGATTCAAGCTGAGCATTCGCTGTTTCTAAGTTCTCTGAAGAGTTTCCATTGTTTATATCTGTAATCAGCTGATTTTGAACTGCTGCATCATCCTCAGAATCAACTAGAATGTTTGCATAATACACCATAAAGAGCCCTATTATCAGAATAAATAGTGTTTCTAACAAGTGTTGAGTATCAGGAGATTGGGCCCATATTTTAAACATGAATTGGTGCCCTACGATAAACCTTTTCCCTCTTTTCATGCTTCCTGTTGTATATCCCTGGCATAACCTCCTAAACGCAATGGTTCATCAATTAGATTTCTTTTTCTTTCCTCTAATCTTAAAATTCTTAGGTCTCACTAAGGATAGAGTGGTATTATCCAAGTTAGAGGAATCATCAGGGTCGAAGTTGAATTCTCTCTCTATGATGTGATAGCAAAGAGACCTCTTTAAGAAGAAATTTCTCTGGTATGATCCTAAGTAAATATTACTGATAACACTATCAAGAAGAGGATTATTGAGAAACTCCTGGATTTGAACAATAGCAATAAGATCAATAACTTTTGTTCCAGAGTACATCTCATCGTAGAGAATATCCTCTACTTCAGTAAGGTCTGTATTTTTATGCAAAATATGATTGCCAATATTTGTAAGAGTTGTCCTGATTTTATTTCCCTTAAAACTAAGACTTGGATGTAACTTTACAAGAGAAGAGATAATATAAATGATCTTACATATCGTCTTCAAAGTATTTGGCATGTATACAAAGAGATTCTTATCAGCAGGATACAAAATTATCTCATCCATCAGATCTAAGAACTCATAGGCTAGTTTATGATCCATCTTCTTCATCAATTTTGTGATAATGAATAATCTCTCATCAAGAGAGGAAGCTTTATTTTGTGTCAAAGCTTCTGAATGTACAGAATCTATTATAGACCTAATACATTGATCACTGTTTCCAAATACACTCTTCTTGTACTGTTTAAACAGGTAGAAAGTAATATGAAGCTTATTTATTGATATGGAGTATGAGAATGCATCAGAAACTAATAAATCATAGTCATAAAGATCTGTATCAACATTACTATTAACATTCTCTGCACTTTGGTCATTTTTGTAATTCCCAAAGTCATCTTCTTCATAATTCTCATATTCTCCACTTTCAATAATGTCTGAAATATTGCTGACTAAGATATCAAACAGCTCAACTCTTTCGTAGGAAATAATGAGTTTTACTAAACTCTGAGTGGCGCCACTTCTCAAATGAAGTTGCCCATAAAGAATTTCTATAATTGCAAAAACAGTGTCATCATCAAGTGTGTCTTGCAAGAGGACTTCCTGCATGATATCTCTGGCCTCCAAAATCTTATAAAAGTTTAAAGTCTTATTCATCGGATCAAACTTCTTTAGCTTCATCGAAGAACTACCCTGGATTATACCTAAATAAATATATGAGTTGTATTTTTAGATAGGTGGAAAATTTAATAGATTTCAGAAGAATATTCTATTCGTTAAAATTTCATTCCTAGTAACAAGTGTCTAATGTGCAGGTTTGGAAAATATTCTACATTAGCAATGAACTAACAGCATGAACACTATTTGAAATCTTTATTCCTGTGATTCATTGTGATCTTAAGTGGGTAGCAAAACATACTTTTAAGTGTGTTGAATTTGGCTAAATTGGGGAAGGAAGACGTGTCAGAGGCTTCTTTCACCATTGAGAGGCCACTATTTTTAACCTTAGCCTCTTTAGAATTTTCTTTTATCATGTTGGGATTGGTTGTCATTTTACGATTGAAAAATGATGCTCTGAAGCTCTGTGCTTTACTCATTGAAATATTTAAGCTTGAAGGTCTAAAATGCTAACATAAGTTTACTTTAAATTGCTTGGAGAACTGGGATCATCAGTGTTTACAAAAAGATAGATTGACGAAGAGCAAGCAAAACTCAAAATTCTTGCAACTCCTGAGTTTGAAATCTCTTCACAAAGAGATGAAAGAGTTTCATGTCTCATTGTGAGATTTAAAAAGATGGCTTTAGCCATTTTGATAATGTATCTCAAGCAGATCTCACTTTTAACAAGGAGGCAGTACTCTAAAGCATCATTGCCAATTTTTAAATCATTGAATAGCTTCTTTTTAAGGTCACGAATGTCAACCTCATCTCTCTCAATGTCTTTTGGCCAAAACTCTTTAGAATTTGAGAGCTGATTAGTGACATCATTTGGTCCTTCGATTAGCAGAATAAACGTAATAAATTGATATAAAAGATGGTTTCCCTTTGATTTCTGGCTCAAAGTTTTATAAATACTCTCTATTTTCTTCTCTGTATGTCTATAAACTGAGCTTGCTAAGTTTTTGATTTTTTGAAAATCGGGATCATCTAAAATTCATAAATATCAATAAGCATGATGAACTACCATTTAGTTTGAAAACTTACCTTTGTTTGTGAGAATATGGCTATCAACAAGATTCAAAACCAACATGTCTACCTTATTAAGTTTATATATCTCTTCTTCCAAACCCTCCACTGAACTAGCCACTCCGAAGACACCTTCTCTTACTTCAAACCCATGATTATCCGCTGAATCTATGCTCATCACTTGGTCTATACCCAGAAAGTTACTCACAAATTCACGCACAAGATTTTTCTATAGTTCAGAAACGAATATGGGTGAAGGGAACGAACTACATTCAGTACTAAAACTCTCACCAGCAGACCCTTCAGTCCAAAATTTAAACCCTTTAGTAAATTTGACTCTTAAATTTCTGAAGAAAGAGCAAGCCAATGGAGCAGCTTGAAGAGAAGAGATTTAAGGAAGAAGGAAGAAAGGGGATTTGGGAGAGGAATTTCAAGGTTTTTTGGGAAATAGAGGATTTGAGAGGTTTAGGAATTTTTGGAATTTTGAGGGTGAAGTGAAGGGAGAGGGGCTGATTTTGGGGGCTTTGGGGGAATAGGTCAGTAATGTGGTCAATATTTTATGAAATTTTTTATAAATTTATAAAAATTACGAATTTTTGTAACTGCATACACCACAGTTTTTATCAGGTCTTGAACAATAAAATTAGACGAACAAGAATAATTTTTAGTATATTGTACTAAAAATACTAGTAAATTCAGATTGTTATACCTAAATTATTAACTCCTTACCTGATTTAAGTTCTTCCATTTATTTTATATAATTCAAGTAAAGAATAAAAAGAAGGGGTTTTGGGGTTTTGGGGTTTTGGGGTTTTGGGG